AAAGCTTAGTCACCAAATTATTAAAGTGGAGCCACCAAAGAAAACAAAAGGAGTTCCACAGTGCAAGAACTGCCAATTATTTGGACACACTTTAAATTATTGTCACAAATCTCCTAATTGCGTAAAATGCGGAGAAAAACACAGGTCAATTGATTGCACAAAATCCAAAAAGACCAAATCAAAATGTGCCAATTGTGGAGAAAATCATACCGCAAATTGGAAAGGCTGCGCTGCGTATAAAAAAGCAGTTGAAATTTCTCACCCAAAAAAAACTACAGCAGTTCAAAGACTACAAAGTAAACTAGCGAAATCTGTTACAACCAGCATATCATACGCTGAAATGGCTGGTTCATCAGTCCAAAACTTAAAGATACCCCAAACTTTCGAACAAAAAAATCATGTGAAAAATGAGGAAGTACCCTTTGTGGAAGTTATAAATTCCTTAGCTAGTATTACTCAAACATTAGCAATGCTAACTGAAAGATTAGACAGGTTAGAAAACAACCAACCTAAACCTAAAAACAAGCGTAAAAATAATAAAAAATGACCCGTACCATACGGTTTATTGCATGGAACGCTAATGGGCTAGTACAGCGAAAACTTGAATTAGAAAACCTTCTACATCATGAAAATATAGATATTGCTCTTATCTCTGAAATTCACTTTACATCCTGGACTTTTTTTAAAATAAAAAATTATATTACATATACCACCATTCATCCAACCAACAGAGCACGTGGAGGTACAGCTATAATTATTAAAGAGTCTATTAAGCACTATGAGCTAGATAAGTTCTCGGAAAATCATTTACAAGCAACAAGTGTACGAATAAACGACGGGGCCAATGACCTCACTGTCACAGCCATATACTGTCCACCACAAGGAGGTGCTAATGAAGTTAATCTTTTCGAATTTTTTCAGACTCTAGGCGATAGGTTTATTGTCGGAGGAGACTGGAACGCTAAACATAAACATTGGGGCTCGAGATTAAACTCCCCTAAAGGTAATTCTTTGTTTAAAGTAATAAATAGCTTAAACGCGATAACTGTCTCCACAAGAGAGCCAACTTATTGGCCTTCTGACGTTAACAAAATTCCTGATCTACTAGACTTTTACGTGATGAAAGGTATTTCCTCTAATTATGTAAAAGTTGAAGGACTCAATGAGTTAACATCCGATCATACACCCGTACTACTCACTCAAAGCACAAACGTTATTATGAAACAAAAAAAAGTATTTTTAACGACTAAGAAAACTAACTGGGATTTATTCAGAACGTTACTTGAAAATTCACTTTCGCTTTCCGTTAAACTTCAAACATCCAGTGACATTGACTTGGCAGTTCATAATTTTACCAATAATATAATTAACTCAGTGAAAACTGCAACACCTAAGGCTGCAGTAGAAAGAATACGAGAGATCACCTACCCAATAGAAATCAGAGAGTTGGTACAACAAAAGAGAAAAGCTAGGAGAACGTGGCATAGAACGAGACATCCTACTGACAAAAAAAAGTGGAACCACATCAGTCGGTTACTCCACAACAAAATAAAAGAAATGAAAAACGAAACTTTTAAAACTTACTTGAGCGAACTTTCTGCAACCCAAGATACTGACTACTCTCTGTGGAAAGCTACTAAACGACTAAAAAGGCCTTTAACACACGTGCCACCTATTCGCAAAGAAGACGGCACGTGGGCACGAAGTGAATATGAAAAAGCTGAAGTATATGCATGTTACTTAGAGACTGTATTTAAACCTAATAATATAGTTTCAGAACTTGACGGACTCTATAGTTTACAATTAGATAGAAATCGGGAGAAAATAAAATATTTTTCACCATTAGAAGTGGCGCAAGAAATTGATAACAACATCAATGTAAAAAAAGCACCAGGTTACGATGAAATCAGCCCGAGAATGATAAAAGAATTGCCTAAGAAGGCGATTATTTATCTTACATACATCTTCAATGCAATTTTACGAACTGAATACGTTCCAAAACTATGGAAAAAAGCTCAGGTCATAATGTTACTAAAACCAGGTAAACCACCAGATCAGGTAACATCTTACCGGCCAATATCACTCTTACCTTGTTTATCTAAGCTTTTTGAAAAAGTTCTTCTTAAAAGGATAAAACCTTTGATTGAAGAAAAGCAACTTTTACCTGACCACCAATTTGGTTTCCGCAATAAGCACTCTACAATTGATCAAGTTCACCGAGTTACCAATGTTATTAACCAGGCTCTTGAAGAGAAAAAGTACTGTTGTGCAGTTTTCTTAGACGTTGCGCAGGCGTTTGATAAAGTTTGGCATGAAGGACTATTTATAAAATTAAGAGAACAACTACCACACACTTGGTGCGCGTTATTAGAATCTTACTTGACTGAACGAGAGTTTCGGGTAATGCATGAGCAAGCTGTTACAGATTGGAAAACTATAACAGCAGGAGTACCACAAGGTAGTGTTTTAGGACCTATTTTGTATTTACTTTATACTGCTGACATTCCATCAACCAATGATACGACAACTGCCATGTTCGCTGATGATACGGCTGTATTAGCAACCAGTTATAGTCAACAGTCTGCAACTGGTAAATTACAAAACTCGATCAATAATATCTTCTTATGGACAAGACGTTGGAAAATTAAAATCAATAGTGACAAATCAGTACATGTCAATTATACACTTCGTAATACCAATAATATTCCTATCAAAATGAATCATCAAATTATCCCACAAAAAGATTCGGCTAAATACCTAGGAATGCACTTAGACTCACGTCTTAATTGGAAACACCATGTACGCCAGAAAAGTTTGCAAATAAAACTAAAAATGAAAAAGTTATACTGGTTGATCGGGAAACATTCCGAACTTTCATTAAATAACAAACGTCTACTTTACGTAGCTATCATAAAACCAATTTGGACTTACGGTATACAACTGTGGGGTTGTACTAGTAAGTCTAATATTGATGTTATTCAACGATGCCAAAATGTTGCACTCCGTACCATCGTTTCAGCTTATCGGTACGATAGAAATGACATTATACACCGTGATTTGATTTTGCCTACAGTAGCAGAAGAAATTAAGAGATTTGCTCGCAAACATGAGGTGAGATTAACGAACCACATTAACACAGCAGCCATCCAACTTTTGGACAACTCCGAAGACATCAGGCGTCTTAAACGTCATAAACCATATGACTTAATTTAAAATATTTAGTTTTAACTTAGGTTAAGGAGCCACCTCGCTGGAGGTGTCACTCCACACACGTTTATTCTTTATTAATTGTTATAAAACTATGTTTCATATACAATTATTGTAAAATATATTTATAAAGATAATTTTATCGTTTAAATAATAAAGCCATTTGGTAGTTTATAAAAAAAAAAAAAAATTCAGCCTATAGAGTCCCTGGTTGTGGCAAATCATCATTTGTATCATTTTTTATGGAAAAATAAGAGGTAACTGTACGAGTTTTGACAATAACTTTCTGTTGGCTCAGTTTTTTTATCTTTGGCTTCGTTTTTTTTTTTGTCATCCTCCTTTTTCCTTACCCAAACACATAGTGAATTTTCAACTTTTTTGACCATAAATCTATTTTTAGTGTCAGTATGTCTTTGAAATGATCACCAATGGTCTAGTGTTCCCGTCAAGGACCTACTTTCCTTAGGTATCCTGTTTAATATCGGGTATATAATAAATTATACTGTTTATAATGCTCTTTTCTGTGATTCCAGAGAAGTTAAAATCGTACCCTTTTGAAAAAAAACTCTATACTAATTCGATTATCGATGTTGTTCGATTTTACATATTACTACTATATTTTATCACCATCTTTATGATAAAAAATAAATTGATAAATTTTAAAATAATTGATAAGAATAAATCACCGAATATAAGAATTGGTGCAAATTGTTTGATTCTTATTATCTAGTCATAAAAACAATTTATTGGATTAAAAGTCAAAGTACTTTTTATTATTATTTTAACTTTGAATTTTTGCCATAATCAATATACCGAAACCATTGCTCTATGTAAACGCTTTTAGTAAGGTTATCGGAGGCGTGTATTAATTTAAGTGTGTATATAAAAATTTCATTAATTATGTTAATGAAGAATAAATTTCATTAAATCAATATTTTTATAGAGAAACAGTTACTGCAAAATCTTACAAAATTACAAAGTCTGCAGCCAAAAAAGTTGTTGTTATTACAGTAGCTAATACTGGTCATGGAAATGAAGCAGCTCGATTGCTTGCTATTAAAAATGCAACAGTAATAATGACTTGTCGCGACATGGAAAAATTTGAAAATAATTCAATTTTATGTAGTCATGTAATTTTTACTCATCTTTAATGTCAGTTGAAGATATTAATGCAATAATAATAATTATGTTTTTGAAATTTTTTAGGAAATTAAAACTAGACATTTTTTAAGAATGTCCATATATAACATTTTTCACATCATACATTTAGGTTCACAAATTTTGTTGAACAAAAGAACTTTTTTAGTTTTGGACTGGTGTTTTCTTTAAATAGTTTGTAAAGTTTTTGAATTTTTTCGGGAACAGGGTTAGAGCATGTTTACATTAAACAACCATATGCTGTGAGATAAGACCAGTTTGTCGGAAATGGCCGTTTTAAGTTGGCAAGAATAAAGGTGCAGATAGTGTAAACCTGACAAAAAAAAAAATTGAGCGGGCAATATGAATATGACGAGAAATGAAAAAAAATCTCTTAACATTATTTTTATTATTGATGATTATTTATTAAACGATAGATACAATAATTATTAATCCAAATACCAGTAAAAATATTTACGATAATTTTACAGAAAAATTTATTTAGATAATTTTATAATAGTAACGATAAGTAATTTAACTTAATTTGTGAAAACAATTATTTAATTTTAATGTTAACACCTTATAGAATATATGTCTATAAATGGTACATATTATATTCTGGTACAATAATAAATAAAGTAGACCTAAGACCATCAAGATATTATGATGCTATCAAAGATGTGAAACATCAAATATTAGGAGATCAATAAAATTCTTATTAAAAATATAAATAAATCAAAATTTTATAATTTTTAAAATTAAATTAGTAATTTTTTTAATAAATAAATCAGTAAATGGTAAATTAAATTAATTAATCAATATTAGAATTTTGTATTCTTTTGTTGACAAACATACTTCTGATTGGATTATTTATGTCAATTGTCTAATAATAAAACTTGAATTATTTTTTTATTATCGAGCAGAAAATTTTTAAAAATTGGTCCTCAATGATCAATTGATGGTAGGTCCTGAAATAAAAATATGAATAAAAAATATAATTTTAATTATTGTCACAGTTGAATTTTTATTCTAATCATCTTACAACTAAAAGGATTTTAATAATTAATGATAATATTTTAATTCACCCATGTATTTTTAATTTACATTTGAATGGTTTTTGTGAGAAGTTGGTCAAAACAATAACGATAATTATTCAGAAAACGAAAAACACGAGATACTTTAACCTGATAGTAATTATGAATATTAAAGTTCAATTAGCAATAAAATAATAACTAAATTACTTATGGAAACACAATATTAACACTACGCATAATTTAATTGTTAAGTAACTTAAAATTGATAAAAATTTGTCTTGATCTGCTTCTCAAAAAAACATTCCATACATATTAAGTAAATGATATATTATACCTTGCATGCATAAAATGATTAAGATGTGTATACATTGTATACAGAGTGATTTTTTTATCATAACCCACTCAATTACTTGCAGAATAATAATAATTTAAACATTTTTTTTTTTTATTATCTTTAGTTACACATTATTCTTGAATTTTTAACTATGTAATACTTTTTAAGTTCATCCCTTATGCCTTGGAGGGGGGTCAACTTTGTTTTTTTAAATGGTAACACATATTTTTAATTTAATAAAATGTTTGAGTTTTTAATTTAATAGTAAATGGCATTTGAATTTTTAATATAACTTTATTAGCTTATTAGATATAAACATTTAAAGTTTCAAAATTTTGAGTTAATATACATGTATAATACACATGGGATTGTAAATACAGGTAGTTAATTGGATTTTTATGACATTGCTGTCTCAGTCACGGATTGTTTATTATCAATTATGATTATCAATAGATATACTTTCTGTATTGTCAGTTAGTGTATTTATAAACTCATAACAATGTGCCTTACTATCATTGATAATAACAATGCTGTGTACCTGCTAATATCGATGTCATAAAAAATCAATTAGCTACCTGTATTTGTAATCCCTTGTGTATTATACCTATATATTAACTCAAAAATTTGAAACTTTAAATGATTATATCTAATAAACGAATTAAGTTATATTAAAAATTCAAATGCCATTTACTATTAAATTAAAAACTCAAACATTTTATTAAATTAATAATATGTGTTACCATTTAAAAAAACAAAGTTGACCCCCTTACAAGGCATAAGGGATGAACTTAAAAAGTATTATATAGTTAAAAATTCAAGAATAATGTGTAACTAAAGATAATAATAAAAAAAAATGTTTGAATTATTATTATTCTGCAAGTAATTGAGTGGGTTATGATAAAAAAATCACCCTGTATAGTCAGTTTATTGAAAATCGTTCTACATCTATTTCTTTTTTAAGAATATACGTGTTTCAAAGGCAGACAATTATTATAGATAAATAACTTAAATAATTATGGATATCTGCATACATTATAGCTGATTTTTCTCGGAATTTTGTTAAGAGTAAGAGAAGTATATGACCTTTATAGGTCGAGATATATTTTTAAAAGTTTACGTTCCTATCATAAAGAGAAATAAATGGGTTTAATCTTTATAATGTAAAATCCTATCATAATATTAAAATTGTTATTAATATTTTGATAACTGATATAATTAAAAAAAATAACTATTAATTTACATTTAACTTAATGTTAGTAATTTTTACTTACTACTACCACCATCAACACCATTTAAATATAATAAATTTTTTTATTATTTTAAATCGCTAAAAAAATACTAAAATGTAGTATTTTGTTTATGTATATCGATTAGCGATACAGCTTATAGTTAAGAATCAATGTGTGGTCGAATCTCCGCCTTGCTGGGCTGGAACGTCAAGTGCTACTTATTTATTTAGTTTTGTGTCTATTTATTGTGTATTAGTGAGTATGTCAAGTCATATATCGGCAATTGTTTAAAATGCATCATATTCTCACCAAAGGAGGGGAAAAGTGAGGGTTTCTTAAATATTATTAATAAAGGCGACAAGCCATTTCACACCATTCACGTTGACCATTACGGTCCCTCGAGTCAGACTATAGGACGGTTTAAGTATGTTTTCGCTATTGTCGACGCTTTCAGTAAATTTTTAACTTTATACCATGTTCGAACAGTTGCGTCCAAAGAAACGTGTTCGAAGTTGGACCAATATTTTTCATATTATAGTAAACTTATACGAATTATTTCAGACAGGGGATCGTGTTTTAGATCTGATGTTTTTAAAGAATTCTGTTTACAACGCGATATTGACCATGTAATAACAGCCGTGCAATCGCCTTCGTCTAATGGACAAGTCGAACGTTACAACAGAAGTCTAACGGTCATGTTATCAAAAATGGTGTATGAACACGGTAAAAACTGTGCAAGTGGGCTTTTTTATTAGTAATTCTAATTTTATTAGTAACAACAATGTGGTTTGCCACTTGCATAACGACTAGCTATAGTAGCAATGGTCGCCACCACCTAAGCGAGGTGTCACACCTATCATATATGATTACCGGACCATAGGTGAAATTTAATTTTAAGTTAATTAAAAGTATAATCTACGTTAATATGTCGTTATATGTATAAATTACTATAATACCTCATGGTTTATTAAACACAATTATGACAATTAAAGTTGTATGTGGTTGATATGTAAAACATACCGTAGCCCGTGTCTAGATTAAGGAATAGGAATGAAATACACGCGAGTAATTAAGTTACTCGCGCAATAAAATAAATATTACAATTGAAATTAATAAGGAAATTTAATTTAATTGTTAAAAAAAGAAAATTAAGTTAAACATGGACAAAAATGCGAATGCATCAAAAACCATGTCTACAAATAAAGGCAATACAAATAAAATAAAATATTTAAACAAATAATATTACAAACATCACGGACGGTATTGGAACACATCCGTTAATGTTAATCGGAAATTAATGGAGAACACCAGGAGCGGTCTGGACACTCGCTCCTTAGCGTTGGCTAGAAGAAAAGGGAAACACGTGCTCTCCACACATAAACAAAATTAAGTTAATTTACAATAAAATAAAATAAAATGAAATAAAATAAAATATAGCTCATTACATAAATATAATATAAAAAAGAAAACGATACCCGGTCTCCGAAGAGACCCATCCGATGGTCTGGATGCTTTGTCGAAAAGACCTGGCCGTTCGCCGCTGGCGGCTTTACTCCATCATTGTACAAAAAGTGTCAATAAAAAAATAAACGTGTGCACCCTAGCACGATCAATGACAGAAGAAAGAATAGAGAAGAGTCAACACCGATCTAACGGCAATTTCAAATCGATAACGGCCAGCCTTTTTGGAAGGGATCAATACTGATAAACAATTAGATTTTAATTATATTTCTCTTTTATCGCCTTATCTAGCGGTCAGAGGCAAAATAATGAGTGGTTGACACCGCTGTGTCAGAAAAAGTTTCTTTCGCGTGATAAAATAAATAAGTAGACATAACAAAAAATCATAAACGGTCCACCTTCGAATTTGTGACGTTACAACTGGAACGATCATTTAAGTAAAATTCAATTTCCCGTTAATAACACCATCAATCAATCTAATAAAAATACTCCGACTAAGATAATGTTTGGCATGGAGCAGACCGGAGAGATTAATTATTATGTGCGATTGTATTTAGAAACGTTATAGGAAGGTAGTGGAGAACGTGATTTTAATGTTATCCGAAATAATGCACAGCAAAATATTCGGGAAGTGCAGCTTAGTAAAAAAGTGTACTATGATGTAAAAAACAAGCAGCAACAAAGTATCAAGTGGGGAATTTAGTTATGATTCGGAACATCGACACGACTCCTAATGTGTGCAAAAAACTCATACCCAAATTTAAAGGGCCCTATAGAATTAGTAAGGTACTTCCCAATGATATGTATGTCGTGGTTGACGTCGAGGGATTCCAAGTCACTCAAATCCCTTTAAATACTGTTATTGCCGCTAGGGATATTAAATACTGGATTCGTCCTCATTCATATTGATTAAAAAAAATGTATTTATTATTTATATGTATTTTAACTGAATAACAATGAATTTTATTTTATCATTCTTGATTATTATTATTTTACTAATAGTTATTGATCATTATTATTTGATTATTTTATTGTCTTTATTATATTATTACTTAGGTAAGCATTATATATGTATTTATTGAATATGTGAATTTATGTGAACTTATTTCTTATTAATTATGTAATCTATTTAATTTTATGCGAGACTAAATAATATTGTTCGAGATCGACCAAATGTCAGGATGGCCGAGCTGTAGTATTTTGTTTATATATATCGATTAGCGATAAGGCTTATTGTTAAGAATCAGTGTGTGGTCGAATCTCCGCCGTGCTGGGCTGAAGCGTTAAGTGCTACTTATGTATTTAGTTTTGTGTCTATTTATTGTATATTAGTTATCTACCGAATAAATCGTAACCATTAAGGGAAATTATTGTTACTTTTTATTTTAATATATAATTATCTCCTACAAAAATTAAAAATTATTAATTATATATTCATAATTGAAATGTATATAACTTTGAAGGTTCTTATATTTTTATTCAAGTTAATAGTAGGAATTGAGTTTTATTTTATTAACCTGAGTCAAAAGGGCTGTTATCAATTTACATCAAAATTAACCAAAATGATTTATAACATATTTAATAAACACTATTTGAAAGGGTGACAATTATAAAATTTAATTTGCACCAAAATTAAAATTTATAATTCTTTTAATAGCATGTTCCTGTATCAGTGAAAAATAGTAATATATTTCTAAAGGATTTATTGGGAAAAAGTTTTGTAACTCCTAGAAATCTATGAATAAATATAAATATAATATATTTTGCTGTTAATTTACTGAAACATTTTATAAACTTTAAAAATGATTTTTTTCAAAATTAAAAGTACATGAAATAATTGATTGTGTATCCATAATTGTAATATTTATTATATTGATGGTTCATTAAGAATCCATTAACATTAGTATAGTGAAAATATTTATTAGTATCTTAAGTGATAATTAGGTACAAACTACATGTATAATTTGATAAAATTAATATAATTTTCTTTAATTTAATTTCAGCATAATGAACTTCTACTTTTATTTTGTAACCATATATTTTACAACATATGTTTTTGCACCATCTCAAGCAAAGAAAAATATGAAACAAAATCTGCAAGTACTATATATTTTTAAATGTAAATTAAACCACACTTAAAATAGATTATTTACTTGATATAGGATATATTTTGAAAGAGTCTAGAGATTTAGAATCTCTAGAAATCAATGATGATACTAATATATTATAAATATTACTTTAATAAATTATAATATTGATCATTTAAAATTTTAAGTGACATCTAATTGAATGTTAGTAATTTATTGCTTACCTATTGAAGGACTACCCCCATCATCTACATCTAAATAAAATAAAAATAGTAGATTAGTTATCTATTTAATCTTTAAAAGTGTTCAAACTAAAGAATGAATAATATTTTTAACTGATACTAAAAAATTATAATTATAATATATTTTGTTGTTAAATTACTAAAATATTTAAAATTCTTTAAAAATGTATTTTTTTATTACTTGTTTTTTTTTTAAATTAAACGTTAATGAGTTATTGTTTAAAAATATATATTATATTTTTATTTAAATCTTTTATGATGAACATTACCCTGCATAATTTCATCTTCAGAATCTGTGCTCTCCAAGTCTGTCAAAAAGAAATCATAATTTTTTTGTCAGTAGTTATTAATAATTTTATAATTAGACGGGATATAATTAGGCGAGACTGAAAAATGTCTAGTACACCCGCGGTTCAAAATTAAACGTATATTGTTAATTATTGAGTTATTGTCAAAAAATATATCTTCAATTTTTATTTAAATTTTATATAATAAACATTACTGTGCATAATTTCATCTTCAATACTTATGTTATCCAAGTCTGTCAAAGAAAAAAAAATCATCATTTTATAACTGTTATTAATATTTATATACTTAGGCGTGAGTAGGAGAGAGGCCAATAAATGTCTAGTGATAAAAGTAGCTGCAGATGCATTTAAAACCCTATTATTATTTAAAATTACAAAATATTTTCACTTACTGGTCCGAAAGTAATTAACAATCAGTTATTTTAAAGATTTGTACATAACAAAATAATCATTTATAAGTCATTGTTAAGACCAATTTGGTCTTACGGAGCCCAAATATGGGGTTGTGCCAAAACATCACAGCTTAAAACAATTTAAGCCATCCAAGCAATTTCCCTTCGTACAATCACGTCCGCTCCTTGGTATGTCTCCAATCCTACCTTGCATAAAGATTTAAATATTGAACCAGTCGATATTTTAGTTAAATTATACTACAAAAAGTTTCACTCTAAAGTACTTCTACATCCAAATCCATTATTTGCTAACCAACATACAGTTACAATTCCGGATAACCCTCCTCACCGTCTAAAAAGATGCTGGTGCCGTGACCTTTTAAATTAATATTGTGATGGCTAAATAACCAAATCAAGTCATAAGGGTCCCATTACTGGATAGCTTCTCTTTTTCCTGTTTTCAAGTCAAATGTTATTATATTCTATTGTTCACCTATTTGCTTATTGTATCTTTTTTTATGTACATACACTAGTCGACACTACTATTTCTTCAGTTACTCGTCTTGGGAAACAGACGAATAAACCCAGACCTGTTCGGATTACGTTAAATACGCCACTAGCAGTATTAGCGGTTTTGAAGTCCAAAAAATCGTTGACAAATAATGCTCAGTGGAAAAATGCATGGATTGCTTCTGACCTGACTTTTATCAAAGGTCACTGTTATCGTCATTAAAAAAAGAAAGGGATAGAAGTAATGGTCTGGGTGATGGAAACTGGCTCATTAAGTATATTTGTGGTTCACCCTCCTTGGTAAAAAAAAACTAAATCTTGGATCAAGTACATCTTTACCACATAGTATAACAAATTTCTTAAGTGTTAATAATAAAGTAATTTTAAGTAAAAATTCTAAGTATAATTTTTCTGGTTTTTATCTAAAATTTTCGTGGTTTAAAAACTTAACTATTTCATGTTCGTCTTAATATCATTTCATTAAACCATTGTGATTATTTTGTATTAACTGAGACCTGGTTAACAAGTGATGTAAATAGTAACGAACTAGTAATGACAGAGTTTTTTGTGTATCGTAAAGATCGTAATAATTTAAATTGTTTATATACAAAAGGCGGTGGTGTAATTATAGCTGTTCACAAAAAATTTTCTACTACTTTAATCCCCTTACCAAATTCTGCTCTTGAATGTTTAGCTGTCTCGATTAAAACTTTGAATTCTAAAATTATAATTGTCTCCATTTATATCCTTCCTAATAGCTCAACAGAAACTTACAAGAAATACTGTGAAGAAATTGAGTATTTGAAGCTAATATTCCCTAATTGTACTTTTATAATTATGGGCGATTTTAATTTACCTGTCATTAATTGGTTAAATGACGAACAGCATTCAATTGTATCTGGTCTTTCATCTCCTAGGTCTAAAGTATTATCAGAGACAATTGTTTTTGAAAAATTATTTCAATTTAATTTTATTAGTAATTATAAAACTAATATACTTGATTTAATGCTTTCAGATGATAGTAGTCTACAAGTATCAAAAAACTCCTTTCTATTGTTCTTATAGATGCAGCTCATCCATCATTACAAATTGATGGCCCACAAAGTGTATCTTCAAGTGTTATTAATTCCCAACCTTTAGAGTAAAATTTTTATAAAGGAAATTATGTGGCTATGAATGCTTATTTATGTAATATTGATTGAAGTTTTCTATCGAATGATACATTAAATTTCTCAGACGTTGTTTCTAGTTTTTATGATATTTTCTATGATGCTATTGATACTTTTATACCTAAGTTTACTGGTCATAAATCTAATTTTCCTATGTGTTACAGTAAAGATCTAAAGATTTTAATTTTCAATAAAAAGAAACTTCATAAACAATATAAGGTTACTAAAAATGATAATGTATATAATGAATTTTCTCGTCTAAGGAGTTTATGTAAACAAAAATCTAAAAGGTGCTATTCTCTTTGTTTACAAAAATACAAGCAGATATTTCCTTGGATCCTAAATCTTTTTGGCGTTACATTAAAGATCAGAAAGCTGATAACTGTCTACCTGATACAATGGAGTTGTAATATTATATTATTACATATAATATGATGTGAATATTTGTACATGTATGTCACATATCATGATTATACAAGATCACCAAAACAGGGTTTTCTTATTTAAGATACAAAATAACCCTTTAATTATACGATAAAATCTCCCTCTTGTAAAAATTATTAAGTAACGCCTACACGCAGGGACCCCATTTTAATTAACCAATTAAAATATAAAGCCTCAGCTTCCAGGATCACAGTAGAGATCGCTGGGCTACCCCCATCAGACTATAAAAAGCCATTTTCCCCATCTAAACCAGTTCTTTTGACGATTTTAAAATACACAAAATCTACGACAATCTACTCAAGATTTCACTCTCCGGGACTTAGTCGTTTTTTTAATTTATTTGGACTTAGAATATTTTTCTTTAAAACTAAATGACACTTAGAAATTTTAAAGTGAATTTTGTTTTGGTGAATCTTTTAATTAAATTTAATTTTTTCAATCATTAATAATATTTTATTTTTCTTGTTGTGGAAATAAACATCAAATAATATTTTAAACATTACATTTTTTTTAAATTATTTTATTTTAATAATAAATCTAACCTAAATTTAGACTTTTATTTAATAATAAAAATTTATTGTGAGCTTTTCTTATTGGGTAGCTAGTCTCGTTGCTAATGTCATTGTTTTAACAAACATCACGCCGGCAGACAAAGCTAAAGGTCACAATCTTTTCAATTTAAATGGAGATTTAAATTTATTTGACTAAGTGTATTGCAACTCTATACATATTGGGTAGCTAGTCTCGTTGCTGATGTTTTTGTTTTAACAAACATCGCGCCGGCAGACAGAGTAAAGGTTGCAACTAGATATTGTTCTAGAATTAGGTATGTTAGGTTAGAATATATTTGTAAGCCTATGTGTATTGAGTAGCTAGTCTTTGAGCTTAATGTATTTGCTTTAACGAGCATCGTGCCGGCCGACAGCGCAAAGAAACTTACAAATTTTTTTTTAGTGTTTAATTTTTGTCTTGGTGATTATTGTGCTGCATCCTTTCAAGGTGCTTTATTTTAGCACCGGGACACATTGGGCCACCACAATTCCGCCTTGATAAATTTTTTACATAGATATAGATATTTCTGAATCTTGTTTTGGGCAGGCCAGAGGAAAATTTAAGAAACATTGGTATCGATCTCTCAATAAAATATACTCTATAAAAAATACTTATTCAACAGACGTAAAAAAATCAATAAGTAAAAAAAATTAAAATTGTATTTATAGTAAAATATAGAGTGTTTAGAATCATTCATAAGTAAGACCAGTTGTAGACTTTGTGTAATTAAATCATATTATTTAAAGTCTTGAATCGGTTTTTTTTGTAAGTAATTATATAGACTATATGACGTATAGTGTAATTCGTATACCGTAGTACGTTGAACGGGGAAATCAACACTGGATTACTTGAAATATTATTGTATTACACAGGACATAAGGTAAGTACAATTTAATCTATGCTTTCGAACCTCCAACAATGTATTGCATGATAAACCATTAATAATTAATGAAAGAAATAATTAATAAAAAATTAATTTAAATAAAATTGAAGACAATTAAATCTATAAAAAAAACTTATAAAAATAATAAATAATAATTATAATAATTTACTAACTACTACCGATTTCTTTTTATATTTAATCTATACAATCTCTACTATAAAAATTATCAATAATTATCTATTTTTCTCTCTTTAACCTATTTTCTCTATTTTTCTTTTTCTTTCTTTTTATTTTTGGTTTATTATAGAGTATAAAAAAAATGTATCAACTGGTGGTTCTGGTATATCAAACTTTTTCAAAGAGTTTTTTAGTTCAAATTATTCCGATAGTACACTAATTGTAAGTGATAGTCTGACTATGCTAAACAACTGCACAGATATAGCTTCTCTATCTTTTATTCAATTAACAGTTAAAGAAATCTTCGAAGGTCTCAGTTCTTTGGATCTAAATCCATGTCCTGGACAAGATGAGATTCCTAATATTTTATTATCATCTTATAATACTCCTTAAAAATTCCTATAAAATTAATTTATAACCGTTCATTACATTTAGGTGCTTTTCCTAGCCAATGGAAAAATAGTTTTGTGTCCCCTATTTATAAATCTGGTTTAAAAAATAAAATTGTAAATTATAGACCCATCTTGAAATTATCTTCTCTGCCTATACTTTTAGAAAAACTATTGATGCCTTCTCTATCATTTATTTTTAAAAATGTATTAAATACTACTCAACACGGATTTAGAAAATGTCTTTTAGTTGAAACTAATTTACTTTGCTACTACAATACATTAATAAATTCTGCCGAGTCCGGCATTCAAACTGATGTTATTTTTACTGACTTCAGTAAGGCTTTTGATTCGGTTAATCACAGTGTCCTTATTGCTAAATTACGTAAATATGGGATATCTGATCCTTTAATATCTTGGTTACTTCATACCTTAAGGATAGAGTTCAACAAGTGAAAATTAATGGTTTTTTATCCGATCTCTTTCCTTCTCTTTCAGGTGTTCCCCAAGGTGGTCACCTATCTCCTTTGTTATTTGCTATTTTTGTTATGGATATTAGTAACTGTTTTAATTTGTGCAGCCATCAACTTTTTGCAGATGATCTCAAATTATATGCTAATGTCAAATCAATTGATGACTGTAATAAGATTCAAGATGACCTTAATAATTTAAGTGCCTGGTGTTTTAATAATGGGTTAAAACTAAATCATCTAAATGTGCAAAAATGTTTTTCTACCGTTCTCATAACCGTCTAAATTACATGTATTACATTAATGATAAGTGTCTTAACAAAGTTGACAACATTCAAGATCTTGGAATTATACTTAAGACTAACCTTTCTTTTTCTTTATATATTGAAAAACTTTGCTTAATAGCTTTAAAAATTTTAGGCTTTTTAATTATAAATACAAAAGAGTTCAATAACGAGTTTTGTTTGAAAACATTGTATGTTTCATTAGTTAGGCCAATTTTAAAATATTGTTCAGTCTTTTGGAACCCATCACAAATTTGTCTTATTGAATCATTAGAACGTGTTCAGAGATGTTTTATACGTTACATTGGGTTTAAAAAACAGAGAATTTTAAGCAACATTACCCCGTTCTTGACGTCAAATTTAATAAATATTTAAGATAGTCTTAATTTAAAACCTCTCGCTTATAGGCGCCGAAAAACAGACATTTATTTTATGTCTAAACTTTTAAATGGAACCATATCATGTCCTGAGCTATAGCATGTTCCTCAATATCCGTCTCGTTCTTGTCCCACATTTTCAATAAAGCTTCACCGCACTTTGTATGGTTATAATAACCCCTTAGATCGCATCGCTAGAGAATGCATTATATTAAATAATATTGATCTATTTGATATTAAAAGTCTGTCATGCTTAATGTAATTACTTTTTCTACTTTATCTGGTTTCTCTTAAGCAAAATATTAATACTTATTATTATTGTTTTATAAACTGTTGTTATAATTTTGATGATACGCAAGTGCGGATTGGTTTGTCGTGCGACACATCCGAAGCCGGTGGCGTATATCTTCGTCCTTGTCATTTTGACAACGGAAAAAAGACTACATGTATCATTTTCAGCGAGTAATCGTCGGCCGTGCGGCACAACCTGGTTCTAAGAATTTTTGAACTCCTTGACAGTATGAAACTCTTAATCTCGGGGTCGTGGGTTTGGACACCAGTAAATACGGATGTTGGAGATTGACGACCGGTTATAGAAAGTGTACCGAAAATCGTATGAAAAAAAGAGGCACGGTGCGGGATTTGGACCCGCGACCCAAGGCGTCGTAGAGACAAACCATACCACTGGGCCACCGTTCACTTACAATTTATATTCTCATTCATTTATGTTGATAACGATTATTTATGATGATGTTTGTGTGATGTGTGGCTGAAGTAAACGCCCTAATGTGTCAATAAATAAAATTTATTTTGTGGTTAAATTACTAAAACATTTTTAAAAGTGTAAAAAATTATCATTTTGTAAAATGTTTTTTTTTTTTAAATAATACCTTATTTGTGTTATTGTGAAAAAATAAAATAAATATTTTTGTTTAACTATTATATGATAATCATTACCATGCATATTTACATCCTCGGAACTTGTGTTAAATCCTGTCAGAGTAAAAAAAATTGATCATTTTATGACAATAGTTATTAATATTTTTATATTTAGGCGGGAATAGTAACGCATTCGAAAAATGTCTAAATTAAAAAATAGTAGTACCCGCGCTTGACCTCGAGTTAATAACGACAGGAAGAAAACTACACATATCATTTGCAGCGTGTCTTGTCGTCCTTGCGGCACTTGCTGGACTTTGCACCGTCGCATATAGCACGCATTACTAATAATGAGAGGCAATGAATAGATAACAAATGAACGCAAGTGGCAAACCACGTTGTTGTTATAGGCCGATAAAAAGCCCACTTGCATACTAACAATTCAATAATTTAGTCACCTTGACTGACATATCAGTAAAATGATTAAACTACTAATGTTATAATAATAATAATAAGAGGGCAATGAAAAGATAAAAATTAAGGGAAAACACAATAAATTAATAGAATTATATAAATCACAGACAATTTTATTCATTAATCATCGTATGACCTTTAATTATTAACACCTTTTTATTATTAAAAAGTACAATCAACAATTAAAAATATAGAGCGTTCTATTATTAAATGTTAATATACAGCTCACCTAAAAATTTGGTCCTTACAAACACGATTGTTAAAAATTGAACCGTCTAATAACTATTAGATATAATAGGTGCTATTTTAGTTAATTATAAGTTTAGTTCGTTCATTTTTTAGTTCCCGTTTAGTTCAAATAGTGTTTCGCGAGTTCGTGCGTAATCTACGCGTAGGTGCTATATTCGGACAAAGAAAATGGAATTTCTAGCTGTAACCAAATATAGCTAAAGAGTACAAAGTGTTGTTATCATCCGCAGCTGTCAATAATGGCAGAGAAAGCAAGCAGCCGAAGAGGGGTGTTAAATAAAGTCTCGGCTAACCAAATTTATGACCTATGTCAAAAATTTCAACAATGATAGCGATAACGAGTAATTAAAATTAAGAAAACAAAACGGTAGCACAGTGAGGTCGAGGCACAGTATAGACGAGGCATAGATGGGACGAGTATAGGGGATATCTGACAGCATGGTCGCCCGCAGGGGGGGGGGCAAACGTCCCCTCTTGGCACCCCTGGACTTTGGAAATAAATTTTTAAAAATTATAACCAATCTGATTTAAATTTGTATAATCTGAAAATTTTATATATAAAACAAAAAAATCCAACCGGATTTCTATATGTATTTATTTTTATTGATTTAATGGGTTTTATCGTCATATGCCGTTACAATTTTGTCGACCGATGGCTATCGGGTATTGTCTTGTATATTTTAGAGGTTTTTATCAATTTGTACGGAAATTCCATAATGGAACGACGAGTGACGATCGACTATCTAGTTTTATTTGTCAGCACGCTTCCTTCAATGAAACACACAAACAAAGCTGCCTAAATACAGTACGTTCTATGCTATACATTTATAAGTATTTTTATNGTACGTTCTATACTATACATTTATAAGTATTTTTATAGTAAGTTTTATTTTTATAAATCATAATTATATTTATATAGTCGATTATCTAATATTATACTATTATGGACATCAGAAATTTTTTCAAAAAACCTAAATTCTGTGATTCTGATAATCAACCCTCAACTTCAGTAATTGAAATAAATAATACAGAATCGTGTGAAGTTAAAAGTATGTCGGTTGCTATAAATACAAAAAGTTATGTTATTAGTGATGGGATAACGGATGAAAAAGATATTGGAAAATATTAAATTCAAGAAAATATTGACAATTCTTTGAAATTCGAACTTTTGCGTCATCCTTGGGTACCCAACACTAATTATAACTTTAAAAGTGATTTGAAACCAGGAAATACTCGTGCATTTAGGCACAATTGGTTGCACGAAAACAGTTCATGGTTAACTTATTCAGCAGTCGAGGGTGTGAAAGGAGCTTTTTGTAGAGTATGTGTGCTGTTTAAGCCATCTATTCACAGAGGTGCACAAGGTAAATTTATAATAAAACCGTTTACTAAGTACAAGGATTTTCATAACTTTTCTAAAATACATATATCTTCTAAGTGGCATTCTGAATCAATGTCTTTTTATGGATATTATGATTGATAAAAAAATTAGTGTGATTGAACAAGTAAATGTTGGACTACAAAAAGAAATAGAAACCAACGGAAAAAAATTAAAATCCATAGTATCAACCATTGTGTTTTGTGGAACTCATGACATTGCTTTGCGAGGGAAAAAACAGATTCAGAANTGTGGAACTCATGACATTGCTTTGCGAGGGAAAAAACAGATTCAGGTAATTTTCATGATCTTCTACATTTTCGTGTTGATTCAGGCGATAAGATGTTAAAAAATCATTTTTTAAACTGTACAGGAAATGCTAAATATTCATCTCATAGAACACAAAATGAACTAATAACATTGTGTAGGAAAATATTAAAATAAACATAGTGTGTGAAGCCAATACCGCAAATGCGTTTTCTATCATTGCCGACGAAACAGCAGATTTCTGGTGTTGAGCAATTGACAATTGTAATTAGATTTTTAGACAAACAGTCAAATCCTTTTGAAATACGAGAAGAATTTCTAGGCTTCTTACCCTTATATAAATTAGATTCAGAATCGGTTGCTACTCAAATATTATCCTTTATGGTGAATTGTGGTCTTGATTTAACTAAACTTTGTGGACAAGGTTATGATGGCTGTGCTACAATGGCTGGAAAAGAAAGTGGTGTTGCTAAACTAATTAGGGACCGATATGCCAAAGCTTTATTTTTTCATTGTGCTAGTCATCGATTAAATTTAGTTATTAATGACTTAAACAAAATTATGGTTATTCGTAATACTACAGGCACAATTAAAGAAATTATTAAATTTTATCGTGAAAGTACACTTCGAAGAAAACTAATACCTAACATACCACTATTTTGTGAAACACGTTGGTCTTCAAAGTATAAAAGTATTAGAGTATTTTCTGAAAATTTTATTACAATAATTCAAAGTCTCCAATCTTTATCTATAAATGATATGACAAATGCTAATACAAGACAAGATGCTTTTTATTTATATTCCTCAGCCTCAAATTTTTTATTTATAATAACAATGACTATAATTGCAAAATACAGCGCTATCTTGGAACCTGTTACTAATATTTTACAAGGTGAATCAATAGAACTTTATAAAGTTCGGGAACATATGGAAACATTATTGGAAATGTTTGAAAGTGATAGAATAAATGCAATTGAAAGCTTTAATTTATTATTTATTAACGCTAAATCTATAGTAAATGATTTAGATCTTACTATTACTTGTCCCAGAATTACCGGAAAACAGTTACATAGAAACAACTATCCAAGTGAAACTCCTGAAGACTATTATAGAGTATCGGTTTTTGTATCATATCTCGAATCAATAATACAATCTATCAAGGAAAGATTTGAAAAAGGTAATAGTGTTGCTTTTCCATTACAATACCTTCATCCAGCATTATTTAAAAAAATGAAAAAAGAAGAGTACGTTGAAATTTTAACAATCATTCATAGTTTTTATAAAATTGTAAATTTTTTAGTTGAAAGTGAAAGTTGGTATGTTTATTGGCAAAAAAAAGATTTTCAAAGTATGGACATTATAGATTTACTAAAACATAGTGAAATATTTTTCCCCGGTATTACAATTGCATTAGATATATTCCTATCTTTACCAGCTACAAGCTGCACTGCAGAACGTACTTTTAGTACATTACGAAGAGTAAAAACTTGGCTTCGATCCACGACAAGTGAAGACCGATTAAATGGTTTATGTATGTTAAGTGTACATCTTGAAAAAGTTAAGGCAGGCAAAAATCAATTCATTGAACAGTTAATAACAAGATTTGCAACAGAACAACCGTGAAGACTTCAATTTTTATTTAGTAATGACTTATGAATATATATATATTAATAAACACTTTATTTAATTTTACTTTTTGGTATTTAATTTTTTTTGGCCCCTTATAAATTTCCTGCGGGCACCCATGTCTGACAGTGATTAAAATCACTATCATAAGAAAACCTTCGATGCAAATCAGTAGATAGTGTTTAATTCTAAGAAATTGGTGAATAATTACAAAAGAAACATCAAAACTTATTTCATTGATTATATCCTTATTAGAAGTTCTTTGATTTTAAAATATAATATATGAATAAATACTAATTATTGTTATTAAATTTAGTATGAAATTGATATTCAATAATTTAATATTGCAATTTATAAGAAGAAATTATAAAAATAATAAAGTAGTTGTATATTACTTTATTTTTACGTCTATAAAAATTTAAAGGGCTTGATGTAATATTTTTCAATAAAAACTGTTTGTTACTATAAATAAATGCACTGGACTACAAGGAACTTTAATCAGAAGCAAAAATATACTTTTCTAAATCAACTTTTCGCGTTGTTTTCATATCTACAATTAGACTTTTTCTATCACTTCTAATTTTTTATATTATTACTAATTACATATAAAATAATACATTTTTATCGTAATAGATAATTTAAATAGAAATAATAGTAATAATNCATTTTTATGGTAATAGATAACTTAAATAGAAGTAATAGTAATAATTTCCTAGGAACTTTTTTTGTTGTTTGAAAAGATTCTACAATTGAAATATTGAGAACTTAATTAATTTTAATGATTTACTTTAACTAAATGAACCAAACAAAACAAAGTTGTTAAAAAAATTTACTCAATTGAGCGTATTATATAATTTGATTATATTTGTAAAAATTAATTGTTAATTCAGGAAAAACTAACAATCATTTTTTTTAGAAATTATTTATATAGCAACCAAAAAATTTGGAATATTATAGTCTAGTAGTAGTACACACAAATTCAGTAAAAAATTTATTAAATTACAAAGTAAAAAGATTCAATTTTGTAGTTGAAACCTATCATATCAANGTAAAATGATTTAATTTTGTAGTTGAAACCTATTATATCAAACTTCATTCGTTAATAAATATTTTGAAAACA